CTGATTTTAATTTAGGGCTTTGAACCATCAGCACCACCAAGAAATACATTCTCTTTGATTAAAGGCTAGCTGTGGAGCGAATTCTCTCTTAAAAGGCACAGATGGTACACAGGATTGAAGATCCCTCTTAGCTTAAGGAAAGAATGGAGGAAAACAAATGGTACCTGTCTGAGTCTGTCCAGAAGGTACGGCCTTACTCTGACTGCTTGAGATGGACTGCTCCTCCTTTCTTGGTGATTCTACTTCTGCAGCAGCCACCTGGTCCAGGGGCTGGGCTTCAGACTCGCATCCTTCTCGGGCCTCTCTCTCATTTGTTTTCACCTTTCCTACCTGGGTGGGGGATCTATTTATGACAGCACTTTCGTCACCGCTTCTGTTCCAGGCGGGAGAAGATGCAGTCTGGGCTGCTGTCGTTGAGACTGTAGGAATGACTTCTGATACCCGAGAAGGAAGGGTCACTGAAATTGGCTCAGATATGTTCATGGAAGGTGATTTACTTAATTTCCGTCCAAGCTTTGGAGAGAAAGCATAGACAACCTTTTCAGTAAATGACGATGGCTTAGACGATTTCTCTTCACTTGGGCTCAAGTCCAGGGTAAAGAATGGGCTCAGTTTCTCCTGAAGCGGAGAGACGGGTTCAGAACTTGCAGTGCTTCCGGGAGTCTGAGACTGGCTACCACCTGCTTCCATATCCTTTTTATTGATGCTTGATTTATCCTTGGAGTACCCTAAGGAATCTAAAAAGGAAGCACCACTTTCCAGACATTCTGTGTCAGCCTTAGGAGGACTGCATTGAAATGACATTGGATCAAAATCCAGGCTGGCTACTCCAATGTCCGGTGGGCTCAAATCAACATCCTCAGCTGAATGAGGAGACACCAGAGCTGGAATATGGAGCAGCCCCACTTCCTCCTCACTTTCATTGTCGTGGGGCAGATTGTCATAGGAATTACAGCGGTTCCCCAGCATTTCTCCATTAAAAGAGGCACTCAGTGCATCACTGCTAGATCTGGGTCTTCTGGGTCGGAACAGCTTGGAGTCACCTGGTAAAATGGAAACCAATATCTAAGTATGAATGTCACAGGATCACCATACCACAAGTCAACTATTGAGTGCACATAGGGTGAGAAAATATTAGTTCTCGTTTTCTCTCAAGTTACTGTCTCTTGGGTCACATAGGTGGAACTTCTAAACCGAATGCTAAATAACGAACACATTTGATATAATCAGAGAGAGAATGTAGTAGTTGATGGTTTCAGTGACAAAAAGGACGCAGAACTCCTAGGTTCTATTAATAGTCCAACACTGACTCCTGTTGTGACTTTAGGCAAGTTTTTAATTTTTATTTGTGTATTTTATCACATATGACTGGTGAGGTAGAATTAATTACTTTAAATAGTACTTTGGATATACATACAACAGCAAAAGGTTTTTTTTGGATTTTTTGGTAGGGAAAAATCCTCATCACACTGAAATTTTTAAAAACATAAACTTCTCAATTAAAAAGTCTCTACAATCCCATAAAGTATTAACATATATATAAGTAAGGAATTTCTTTCAGATACTTAAAAATAATTTTACTTTTTTTCCCCCTTAATAAGAATAGGCTTTAAGTTTCTCAGGAAGGGTCCTAAAAAGTGGTTGAGCATTACATAATTTTACGACATTGCTAAACATTCAACTGTTAAAAGTACTCTATCTCAGCAATTGATTACAATTAGAATTGTCATAGTGAAAGGGTACTATAGAGAGGAAGAAACTGTCTTAACATAAATACATTTACTAATACAGTGGCCACTTATAAATACATTCATTAATGCAGTGGCCACTTATAAAATTAATCCCTACTCAAACATTAGTTTCTGTCTAATATCAGCACCTACCCAGCCCACTGCATTGTTTTGTGAAGAATTCTCTTAACTGCAGTGAAATGGAAAATCTTGGAAAACCCCTAAGATGATAAACAGCCAACTAAAGTGATATACGAGGATTTCTTCAATCACAAGCCTTCGGTCAATGAGGATGTGGCAGTTGGAAGAGTTAAACAGAGATGAGAAAATTGACCAGGACAATGACATCCCAGGGTACTTCAAAAGAGCATGATTTGAACATCAACAACTTAAGGAAAGCACTTGGGAAATGAATGTAGCTTTTGATAACTTTTATAAAAAGGGCCTTCTTTACAATCCTGCTGCACAAGCCAAACAGGAAGTAAAGGATGTCCTATCTGCTATTAGATGGTTTTGTCAAAAAAGTTTATTTCCTTCCAAGTCAGCAGTGAAGTAATCCTTTGTTCATTCTAAAAATTAGTAAACAGTTACAACTATAACCTGCCTTTTACTAAATAGAAGCTAAAACAAACTTATTTTCAAATTTTTAAATTTTGTTTTTCAAGTTACAATCAAACCTTTTTGCACTATATAGCATAAAATTTTGATCCCCATTTTAAGCAGATTCACTTTAAGTTGCCTTCTTCTGGGACTAACTTTCCTTAGATAATGAAGACATCCTATAATCAATCTGATCTATGAAATTTAACATCTGGTTAACCCACTTGTAAAACAAAAGTCTACTGGTCTGAATATCAAAACTGCTTAATTTTATACTTTGTAACATTGTGCCCTCATTGTGAAATCTAAAAAAAGAAATACAAATTTTCACTGGGCATTAATAAATATAAATGGTTACCTTATAACATTTCACCAATTTTTATACAATTTGAATAGCAATCATGTCAAAAGTAAAGAAATTAAAAACTGGTACCATATTAAAACTTCAATGGACAACATTAAATAGGTGCTAGTATTCTTAAGAAATGATAGTCTATAGCCTATTTATTAAGCATATATTTATAAAATATTCTCAACTGTTGTATTCTTTTATGAAATATGTTATAGAATAAAATGATCGATGCTTTTAATCTTACCATCAACTGCATGGAGAGAAGTAAGAGACTCTTCACTTTTAGCTGAACGAAGGGTTCCTTCTGCCCTGCCACCTTAAGAATCAAAAACAGAGTGAAATTTTATTCATTGTTATATATGCAGTATAAGGGAGCAGTGCTTTTTTCTATACATATTTAAACTTCCAAGAGTGATTAGCATATTCAATTTAGTATATTATATAATGTGTTGTTCTCAAATAGTTTCCCATGTGAAAAATCTCTTTCGAAGAATTATAAACTTGAGAATAGAGATGAATTAAAAAATATCTTCCTTTTATATTTCCTAAAGACCAGTATGATGTCATACTGGATTTAGGTGAGCCTTAAATCCAGTGACTGGTGTCCCTTTAAGAAGAAAGGATACAGAGGGACAGAGGAGAATGCCATGAGCAGACTGAGGCAGAGGTCGGAGTGATGCCACGGCAAGCCAAGGAATGCCAGGTGACACCAGAAGATGGAAGAGGCAAGGAAGACTTTTTCCCTGGATCCTTTAGAGGAAACATGGCCCTACTGACACTTTGATTTTAGACTTTCAGCCTCTAGAACTGTGAGAAAATAAACCACCCAATTTGTGGCAATTTGTTATGGCAGTACTAAGAAACCAACAGAGGTATTTTAATTATACATGTTGAATCTGATTTACATATCTTCATCCTCTTTCATTTCTTGGCAGGGCTCAACACTGCTGACACTTTCTTTTCAAATCCCTCCTCCACTATTTCTGGTGATAGCACTTGTCTTTTGCTCTCTGCCTACCTTTCTAATCATTTCTTCTCATTCTCCCTTCATGACAACACTCACTGCCTTTTCCCATCCTTAAACACTGCTTTTCTCCAGCATTCAGCCCCTAACATGCCTCTCTCACTCCATAGGCTCTCCTTGGGCCATAAAACCTATCTCTAGTATTTTCACCCTTAGCTGTTGCTGATGACTTCCAAGAATGTATTTCTAGTTATATTAAACACCTTTACTGAATTCTAGACCCATACTACTAATCACCTCTTGGGCATGTCCAATTCTCTATGTCCAAAATAACCACAGTATTTTATTTCTCTCTCTTATTCTTTAATCAAAATCTGAAAAGTATCTTTGATCCCCTTTTTTTTCTCATCCTTCACAATCATTTGGTTACCCAGCACTGTAGATTCTGCTTCCTAACTACCTTTCAATACTATTTCCCACTCCCATTGCTACTGCTTATTCCAGACACTCATTGTTTCTTGCCTGTACAAGGGTAACTGTCTCCTAACTTATTGTCCAGCCTCCAGTCTTATTCTCTTGCCAAATATTCCTTCCACTGATGCTGAAGTCATCTTTCTGAAACCCAAACCTGTTCATGTTACATACTGAAGCCATTCAATAAGCCCCCACAGAATGCAGAACAAAACCAAAACTCTTTGGCAAGCATACGAGGCTGCTAATGATCTGAATCTCTTGTTGTACTATACTACCCAGTCAAATACTTTATAGTTCCCTGTTTCACACACAAGCACACACTTTGCTCCCATTTCCTGAATGGGAAGCCCTACTTATCCTTCAAATTCCAGGTCAAAGTTTATATTTTCTGACCACCAGCTCCTCTCCTCATATGAATTGACACTTTCTACTATAATTATCTTGAACACACCTCTATATCAATAGCTGTGATTCAGCATGAAATTTATTTTCTTACACATATTACTTCCCATATGACTTCCCTTTAAAGTAAGACTTTGAAGGCAGAGGCAGTGCCTTAATTTTCTTACTTTGAAGGCAGGGGCAGTATCTTAATTTTCTATTTGTAGAGGCTGCTATCAAAATATCTAGCACATGCTTAGTACACAATTGCAAACTAAATGAAGGAGAAATTCATGAACTGAACATTATATTTCTAACATTACCTGAGAAGAAAGTACTATTATCCTTCCTAGATGCAAAAGCTCTTAATATCAGTAGAACATGGGTTTTAAACCCTTTTTAAAAGAGTAGTATTTTTGGCTTCTGGTCAAAGTGCCAGAGTAGGTGGATGCTGTGCTTACCCCCTCTCATGATCATGTCAAAATTACACTAAACTGCAGAACGAACATCATTAAGAGTCACTTGAAGTCTAACTGAACAGAAGTCCTTTAACTAAGGACATATAGAAGAAGCCATGTAGAGACTGGTAGGAGAGGTGGACACATGAATCTGGATGGTCCCACACCTGTGTGTGGTGGTTAAATATCAGGAGGGATATCTCAGCTGCAGAGTTTCCCCACTGAAGAGCGAGGGGTCCTGGCCCCACACCAGGTTCCCCAACCTGAATTTCCAGTGCCAAGAAGAGAAGTCCCCATTACTTCTGGCTATAAAAACCAGTGGAGATTGTAGCTGAGTGAGATAGAGGACAGCTGGAGTGCCAGGCGTTCCTCTTAAAGGGCTCACACATGGACTGACTTGCTGATGGACTCACTTGCTCTGAGCTCCAACACTGGGGCAGCAGCTCAAAATGTACTCAGGGACATACAAGAAGGAACTAAATTGCTTGGCTTCAAGGCAAGGCCTAGAGAGGCAGCTTTCTCCCAGACAGAGGTATTGGCAGAAGCCACTGATTCTCTGTTGAGCCCTCCCACCACCCACTGATGTCCATCAATGGATGAATGGATAAAGAAGAGGGGGTACATATATTCAATGGAATATTACTCAGCCATAAAAAAGAATGAAATTTGCCATCTGCAACAACACAGATGGACCTAGAGGGTATTGTGCTGAGTGGAGTAAATCAGGCAGAGAAAGATAAATACCATATGATTTCACTTATATGTGGAATCTAAAGAACAAAATAAACAAAACAGAAACGAAACACATAGATACAGACAACACTCTGATTGATGGATGCCAAATGGGAGGGTGGTGGGGGGATGGGTGAAAAAGAAGAAGGAATTAAGAAGTATAAATTGATAGTTACAAAAGTCATGAGGTTGTAAAGTATAGCATAGAGAGTAGTCAATAGTATTGTAATAACTGTATGGTGTCTGATGGGTACTAGATTTATTGGCGTGATTACTTCGTAAGTTATATAAATGTCTAATCACTATGTTGAATACCTGAAACTAATATAATATTGTATGTCAACTGCAATTAAAAAATAAAAAATTATTTTTAAAAAAGTATTTTCAACAACAGTAATAGATTCATTTTACTCAGTAAAATACTCTTATGAATGAGTCATCTAGGAAAAAGATAGCTTCTTTGATTATAAAAGTTATAAACTTGAAAGGCATTTTGAAACATGATTTTGCCTTTTTATGTATCTGTAAAAATATAGATTAACAAATTTAAACACCACAGCAGTTTTGTTATTACCAACAATATACAAATGATGTTACAAATACATTGTGAATTTTTATCCACATTCACAAAGTATATAATCCATACAGCTCCTCTAAGAAATTAAGTATTGTACATATTTGCATATAATTTATGTATTTGAGGGTAAAGATTTGGTAAAGAAGACAAGTTACATGTAGCAACACAACTGTGGACATATCATACTGAAGCGTGTTATAACAGTACACTGAATACATATCCACAGGAAGGGAAGAACCGCCACGACCGCATAGAAGTGTGGGCCCACCGTGCAAACTGCCCTGGCAGCAGCGGCATGCAGGGAAGGCGTGGGGGCGCTGACCTTTCAGGGCCACGGCTTTCATCTCTGAAGGCTCACTCTCATTACGTTGCAACTTCCGTTTAGAAACCGATGATGATTTTCCCAAGTTGAAAAAAGAACGCCAGCTGCCCACGGGAGATTTTTTCATTTTATTTTGAGGTCTCCTCCTATGAGAGAGAAAATGATCTGTATCAGGATATTCAAAGGATGATCTTTACTTATGGAAAATGAACAAATGATGGAAAGAACCAAACAGCCAGGAGATGCACAACTGAAACAGTACACATCCACCATCCATACAGCATACTCTATGCAGTGAGGCTAAGGCACTGTTTGGATTTTAATATTAGTAACTAGTTTCACAAAAATAATTTATACAGATTTTCATATTTAGGTCTAACCTCACAATCTGGGCAATAAGTGAGAATAAGATATATTTGGGAATAGGAAATAGTAAAACTCCAAAAATAAAACAGAGTTAGAGAAAATGATTTTACATGTGAGTAAGGAGACTTAAGCCAAAACTGAAGAAAAGTACTAAAAATAATAACTAACATATACTGAATACTAGGCACTGTGCTAACTTATATGTAGTTTAACTTATATGTAGCTGAGGAAATTATGACACTAAGAAGTCTAAGAAACTTCCTTAATGTTATAAAACTAGTACATGATGGAGTCGAAGCTGGAAGCCAGGACGATATGTACCACAGTAACTACTCTCATGATTACTACTCTATAGAGATTTTTGAGAAAATTATGGAGCTAAAATATAAATTCAAGAAGCCAAAGACAAACGCAGAATGACAAAGTAGTGCATGTTCTAACTTTTTATTTTTAGGATATTTTTAGTCATGGAAGTGAAAGGAAGTTAAAGAGGTATACTAAAATACGGGAAGAATAAATTCTCAAGTTTTATTAGTACTACCTGATCTAGGTAATTGAAATCCTGATACTCATGTGTAATAGCCAAAGGAGCAAGAGAGATATCAAAATTAACTTACATACATTATAGTCTTCCTACTAAATCTTAGTAAAGATACAGAAACCACGTTATCATTTCTTTAGAGAAACAGAGACTTTCAAAGCTGGAAGGCATATTGAGAGAGTAAATTGCAGTGGTTCTCAAACTTCAGTACAAATCAGAATCACCTGGAAGGCTGGATAAAAGATTGATTGCTAGACACCAACTCCACAGTTTCTGATTTAGTGAATCTAGGTAGGGCCTGAGAATTAGCATTTCTGGTAACTTCCAGGGGCTGCTGGTACAGCTGGTTGAAGGTTCGCACTGTGAGAAGCACTGGTTTATTCTAAACTTAATGTAGAACCAATGTCAAGTTGTTATTCATTTATTACTTTTTGAATAAGCCATTCCAACATAGTTAATTTCTGAACAAATTTCTAGACAATGTATCTCAGAGAGAAAATTGTACCCTATATAGTGGAAGTGTATCATTTTTCCTAACAATCTGCCTTGTGCAATTGACTTTCTTCTTCCTTAAAAAGATAATGATGTTGTAAAGCTTTTCAAGAATCATTTGCATCATTCTCTGTGAAGTATCATCCATAGTCAAATGAACAGGTTTTTCTGAGACTAGCCCCAAATCAATATAGTAATATTAAAATACAAAAGTAAAAGTAAAAGAAAAGAAAAGAACACATAGCCATGACATCACATTTAAGAGAATTTAATGAATTTTACCTTTCAAGTGGGAACTCGATGATGGTATGAAATTTTCCTTGAAGTGCAGCAGGTCCTTCTCCTACTTCAATATATTTATTTTCAGTCACAATTGGAGAAGTGACCTGAGCTTGTGTTCGTGCCTGGGCTTCCTCCAATGTCAGCAGCTTGGCAGATGGAGAGGAAACCAGCAGGGACTTGGGTCTTGATAGAGAAGCTTTGGAAAGAAAGAAAAACAATGAAGAGAGTAAAACTTTTCTGCATGGGGAAAAAATATAAATATGTGTGAGTGTGTGTATACCAATCTATCTATCTGCATGGTTTTAGATTTTCTTCATTAAGCTTTTTAAATGGCAAAAATAATTGGGCTTTATACTAAGTGGGGAATATAAGGGTGATATGCCAGGGTGCTAACAGTGACACATACACACAAGTGTGTTCTGAACTTAGATCATAAAATGGTCTAATATGTAGTATTCACTAAGTATATACAAAATAATTGTTAAATTGTGCATTTTGGGAACTAGGCATAAATTAGGCGCTTCCTACCAAAGACAAATTTATTAAACTGAGATAAGAAATGCAGGTTTCCATTCCTTTAGAAGGTTAGATGCATGTTCCTGGTAGTAAACAAAATCCATATGAGCCATACCTGCCCCCTCCTGAATGACTGCACTGATTTTCCCACTAAAGAGGACATCTACATGATTGAGGATGAATTCAACAACCACTGACTGGATTCGCACTTCCATGAAAGCCGCTGTTCCACTGAAGCAGGCAGATTCTATCTGTTTTGATCTGTGGGGAAAACAATATTACTATCAGAGAGTCCCAAAGACAGCAGTAGTCTTAAAGGGCATTTTTTTTTTAACGTGTAAATCACAGACTAACCAGAGGAAGAAAACATACTTTCACAGTGCCTTGGCTAAGCCCCAATTGCCTGTTTTGGGGAGATGCTCATAGAAACAACAGATTAGTTTTTCTTGTAAAAATTGTCCTTAAGGAACACTGATGAATTAGACTTTTATTTAAGATGACTGGTTCTATTCAAGTCATAAGTCGAATTCAACTTACCTGAGCAGGTTTGGAGCCCAAACAATTGCTAGGTTTTTTGCATGCATGTTTGTGATGGAACAATAGTCAGCTAGAAGAGACAAGTGTCTCATTAGGAACTCCAGTGTTCTGGAAAAGGAAATAAAACACATTAACAAAAAGAAACATTATGTAGCAGTACAGAGCCTAAAAGCTCCAGTAATTAATCAATAAATTTTCAATGGTAAAACAAAAAAAGAACCATAGAAACCCCAGCAAATTTTTGTGCTGCCTATTATGTTTGAATATTATTACTATTACAGGGCAGTGAGAAGAATATTGTGAATTGCATATTCTACATACAGTAATTACATCTATGAAATACTGAGAAAAAACACCTAAGGTAGATGCAGCAAAAAATGAAACCTTCTACAGGACTGGCTCTGAGAAAACAGTCTTAGTTTTTAAAAAAAAAAAAATCTTTAGGAATATTTGTTCCTGGCTGTCAGATATCTAGTTTCAAGGACACCAGTGAAGTGAATCCTCCACAAAAGCTAGTTTCTAGACAAATGATATCACAAAGTTATGCTATTCCACTTGCAGCAGACAAGCTAATAGGAAAGGACTTAAACTTTAAATATATAGATATTTCTCAATCTTCTGTATAAAAAAACAAAAATGTTTCACAAGCCTAAAAAGAGTTAAAAGGAAAATTCCAGTAGGCATCAAGGGGGGAGACTATTTGAGCAAATAATGTGCTTTTAAAAAGAAGCCTACTCCAAATCCTAATTATCCTGGTTAATTGTATACATTCTAGTTTTGCTTTATTTAAACAACAAATATATATACAGAGAGACAGGAGGGGAGTGGAGGGAGATAGGTGTAGCTAGATATAAAACAACATATATAAAAAAATTTATTTTTGGAAATAAAGTATGATCAGCTTAAATGTAAGTTAAATCAGATAAATACACAAAGATAGAACCTATCAACTACCACATCTCTCCAAATGTCCCTACCTGAGTATACAGAGGCTTGAGAAATATGTTTAGAAAACAATGTAAAATTTCATTATTTGGAGTGGGGGCAGGTAGAAAAGGAAAGAGTAAAGCACTTCAGAAATGTATTTTACAAAAAATGCAAATTCAAAGAACCTAAGATTACCATTTTATTCATATATCTAATTATAAAGATGCTTTTAAAAGCCAATGGAGAATTTTAGTCAAGAGTATCATAAATGAGCATTTTATATCCAGCAGAGCGTAAATTGGATAAACCTTGATGGAGTACAATTTAGAAACTGCCGTATGTTGGGAAGAAAATTTTAGTATCTTTGATTTCTAAGAATTCCACTGTCAAGTGTTTATACTAAAATTCTCCACAAGATTCATTTAAATGGATGGTCCTCATAGTAGTGTTCAAAACTGAGAGAAACCCCCTGACCATATAAATAGATTATAGGTAAATCACATAACATATGGCCCATCCACATAAAAGAACAGTATTAAAAATTATGTTTTTCAAGAACATTTCAGAAATTAGGAAATGTGAATGTTAAACTCTTTAAAAGTATGGATAAAAAGAAGTATATAAAGTAGGAGATATGCACACAAATTATGTAGAAGCTACACTATAAAAACACATTACATAGCAGGTGATATATGACAAGGGATTATATATAGGTAGAAGATGTGTATAATCAATATATATATAAAACAAGAGGGCATACATGGTAGGTAATATACATCAGGAGATAAAGAGAACATTAAGTTATACATTCTACATATAAATATACATATATCTGGAGGCTATAAAATATATAGTATACTAAATATATAAAATGTATATGCAATATATATTATTGAACATTTACTATGTGCAAAGTTCTATTCTGAAAATATAGTGACAATACACAATTCATGACCTCAAGAAGCTTGTGTTTTAGAGGAGTTATCTATAAAATAGGTAATATAGTATATATAAGAAACATATAGGATATATGTATGACACATAATATATATCAGGAGAGATAGGTAATGTTCAGTAGAAAAGATCATATAGATATCAAGGGAACTATATCTGTAATTAGTAGGGGAAACAGCTCATATTACTGAGAAATATCTACATATATAATAAAGGAGAACAGATACTATGAAAGGGAAAATATAATTACAGTACATAAACATAATATAGTAGGAAAGCTATATCTATAAATATAGTATATATGTGTATGTGAGATATACACTTATGTTTACGTGTGTGTGTACAGATAAAATACATAATGAAATGAATACAGGGATATATGTAACAGATAACAATGATAATAATGATAATTAACTCATATAAATAGCAGTTATTTAACAGGCCTCATTGTAAGTAGTTTTCCTTTAATATTTATAACAAGCCTATGAGAAAAGTACTATTATCTCTATTTTACAAACAATGAAATTGAGCCCAGAGAGGAAAAGGAACTTGCCCAAGGACACAAGGTCATACGGCTAATATGGGCAGTTTGGCTCCAAAGTCCCTATATTACAATGTTTATAATATATAGATATTATATATACTAGGTGATAGAAATACATTACATAGCAAGGGATAAATATACAAGAGATAACACATGGTGGAGATTCATTTATATAAAACACATAGGATATATGTACTTCACCATATATGTGTACATATATAACATGCATGTATATACATGTATATATGTGCATGTATATAATATATGTACCTATATAACATGTATGTATATACATACTCTACATATGATACATACATATACATATAAACTCTTTATATAATAGAGTATCTTCTTACAGATGTTCTCTTAATTCACCCACAAGTTCAATTCTCTCTATAAAATGTACTGATTGCTATCCAAGACACAATAAATTTTCTGGTTAATGGGTTTCTCTTTGTTATTCCTGACCACCTTAACTAATATAATTTGAATTATAAGCTTACCTAAAATCAACTTAAAGTGTTTCTATAACTATTTATGCAAGGTTATTTTAATTCATAATTAAGTTAAATGCTGTTAATATTTCTAAAACTCAATTTTTAAAAAAAATTCTGTGAAAATTCAGTTGAAAACTTTGCAAAGTCTTAATAAAAGTGAGCTGCCAAATGAGAGAGAAGCAAATACTATGATGAGCAAAGAATGATTTAAACAAAACAAAACCTATAATTATCAATAGTATTCTCACACAGAGATTATATCCATGCAACAAGACTAGGATGCTATAAAGGAGGGATATTCGGAGAAACAAAAAAGGGAGGGAGGTATGAGAGAAGAAGGGAAGGAAGGAAGGAAGGAAGGAAGGAAGGAAGGAAGGAAGGAAGGAAGGGTTTCTTCAGTTAATAAGAGGCGGCTATTTGGATACATGATAGAATTTAAAAAAAAAAGAAAACAAAGGGAGGGAGAGAGGGAGGGAGGGAGGGAAGGAAGGAAGGAAGGAAGGAAGGAAGGAAGGAAGGAAGGAAGGAAGGAAGGAAGGAAGGAAGTTAGTTCCTAGAAATAAAATATTTTCAAATCAAGATATGAGTTGGAGGAAATCCATACATGGGAAACTGACAAAGAGAATGTGAGAGAATTAAAGAGTTGGTTTAAAAGTTACAACAATTACAGAAAGAGAACAGGGAAAGAAAATAGAGAAGTGGGATGAGGTTTAAGTTGCAATGAAAGTATCAAGGAGATAAGACAATTTCTCAGAAGTTTCCAGAGAGAAAAGGCCCATTGAGTGCCCAGAGGAAAGAATGAAAAAGAATCCACTCCAAGATGAATCAATGTGAAAACTGACCACTAGGTATGTTCTAAATTTAAAAGCATGCAGAGTGAATATAAACAAAGCAAAACAGGTCATATAGAAATGTGGCAGACTAGTATCTGACTTTGCTGGAGCATTTTGGCTTAGCTGACAATGGTGTAATACCATAAAAATTACGGGGAAAAAATTACCGACTAAAATTCTATAGCCAACTACCAATCAAATGCAAGAGTAGAATAAGAGCATTTTCATATCAAAGTCTCAAAACATTTACCTCCCATACGCCTTTCTCAGGAAGCTACCAAAGAAGTGCACTAAAAAGCAGGGAGTAAAAATAAGAAAAAATGTCATCAAGAGACCAAGAAAAGAAGGGATCTAACTTGTGATGGAGGGAGGAAGGGAATTTTCAGGATGAGGGTAAAGTTTCGACAGTGGCATTGTACATCTGGAGAGCAATCAGCCTGGACCGAGTTGTGGGACAGAAGGACCTAGGAGGGATGTTTTCATGCAGGTAAAAAAGGTGGCTCGATATGTCTGCAAACACTAAGAGAACATTTTTAGTTCTATTAGAGAGTATGGAGGATAAGCTGGTGATAAATAGAAACTTACAAGCCCCAAATGGGCAACTGCTCCACCAAAACCTACAAAGTTATCCCAGAAAGAAAATATAATTTAGTATAGGTACAATTGTGAATAAAAGTTACATAGTTATTACAATGCAGATAATGAATACTGATTTAACTCCAAATGTCGAAATAACTATACTATGAAAATGAAAGAAGGGGAAGTGTGTGTTTGTGTGGTATTGGGTGGGGAGGGGTAAGTTATAAGAGAGCTATATCTTCTCTTACCATAAAAGAAAGACAAAATATAGTATCTAAAAATGAAAATCAAGAAATAAAGCATGCTGTTTAGAAAGAGAGGAGTAAAGTCCAGAAGAAAGAGTTAAGAGTAATGACTTCTGAAAAATAGAAATTAGAAATGAGAAGGTGTGGAGCTGGAGACTGCTATTGTTCACTATCAGCTTTACAAACCATTTGACTTTTAAAAACTATATATGTTTTTTTTTTTTATTTAGAGAAAAAGATATATTTATTTGGTACCTCATGTAAAACTACCAAGAAGTCTTGGCTTAAACTAATAATCTGTCTTCTTATGCATTGTCCATAAAAAAAAAATAGTAACGGCCACGTTCACATTTGATCTCATTTTCACATTTTAAAAACTCTCCTAAGAAGGTATTATTAGTATTCTTTTCACAGGTGTGGAGATTGATGTTTAGGGGGGTCACATAGCTGGTAAGTGATGAAGTTGAAAATTCAAACTCAGGTCCATCTATCAAAGCCAATATTCTTTACACTGCCCTAGGTTTCTTTTTCCAGTAAGTTAATGTCTTCTTCCCCTTGAAGATATTCTTCAATAACTGTGTAGTGATCAGATTTGTCTCCTCGGCCTCTTTTTCAGGATTAAGTACCTCAACTTCTTGAGCTTACTTCACAAAAGCTCTTCTGAGTTTTTGTTTGTTTTGTTTTGACTCTGCACAGGTCCTTAAGACCTCTTTAATTTCCTCGCCTTCTTCACAGGCTACATTAACAGGAGAATGAGTCAATGCTAAGCTACCTTCTGGCTCTTCAATATCATCAGTTTATAGCTATAGTGTTGAAAAATGTATTGATTTTTAATGTTGATTAAAAATTTCGATGTTGACTTAGAGCCAAATTTAATGCTGATTTTTAAAATATACATCTAAACAATGTCATTTTGAAAAAATCGGCACTAAATTATTTGTGTATTACTAAAACATCTACTGAATTTAATTTCTTGTCAATAACTAAAATTAATTTTTTTTTTTACTTTTTGTATACTAAAATCCATAAGATGTGCTGTTTTCTTTCTCTTACCAATTTTGTTCTGGTCTTCTCAGATACAAACAATAATATTTCTGAGATTCTAAAGTAACATACAAATTAAATTGGGCTTTTTAAAAGTAGCAACAACAAATCCATAAACAACTATAAAACCTAAAACAAACGAAAATAAAACACAGGTTTACAGATTATCTTAGAGTCTCATGAAGAAGAATTCTGAGACAAATGTTAAATTTTGTGGTTCTATGTGGCTTGAACACCTTTTGAAAAACAAAAGAGGGTTGGAAAAAAAAGAAAAATGTAAACAGGCACCCAGCAGTGTGTCCATATTTTGGATTCGAGCAATTCAAAAGTATTCACTACTGTGGGAATATACACCAGTACCTTCAACAATATCTCTGTGTCTCAAAAAACAAACACACTAATGAACAGGTTTAGTCAATTGTCCATTCATTCATTTGACATTTATTAAATGACTATTGAATGCCAAGCCTTGTGCCAAGCTCTGGGGACACAAAGACAAATAAATATGAATGTATAAACAAAGGAAAGTTTAAATAATTGGTACTCTCAAGAAAATTTAAATAGTTAGAAACCCAAAGAAAAAAGCACTTTTACACATCAACTGACATCTACTTTTGGCTGGTATTTCATGACATGTGGTTTACCTGTAGTGCGGAGGGGGTAGTTGTTGGATGACATCATGAATTTTTATCAGCCTTTCTTCATCTGTTGCTGCTGAAACAGCATCCTGTAATAATTATAATACAAAATAAACTAGTAGGCTTTGATGGTAAAAATAAAAGTTCTTCACTTACAATTCAGTTTTCACTCTATCTACAATTTGAGGCTGAATGATGAGGAATCACCATATAGGATCAAGGAAGTAAATTTGTTTCCACACTATGTGAACATTGAAATATATTAAACGATACTTTTTAAAAAACTTTATTATGGTAACCAGTATTAAAAGTGATAAGATTAGTGGCTCAGAGTCAGAAACTAAAATAGGATCAAGGAAGTAAATTTGTTTCCACACTATGTGAACATTGAAATATATTTAAACGATACTTTTTAAAAAAACTTTATTATGGTAACCAGTATTAAAAGTGATAAGATTAGTGGCTCAAAGTCAGAAACTAAAAGAATGAAAATGTGGAAACAGCAAAGACTATGGACTAGCTAGCAATAAATGCTTTTTGCTTTTTTTGTTTCCTTTAACGAAACCATTTTAGTCATACAACTATTTCTTACATGATCAAATCAATTTTTATACTTTTTGAACAAAACCATAAAGAAAATCCAAACAGAACTTGATTTAAAAGTGACCTGTACTCACCGAAAATTTCTCATACAGCTGGTAGGTGAGCAGAGGGTTTGGGAGCTCGCGGAAATACAGCTTACAAAGGGAGCCCACGGAATGTATGTCTTGAACATAAGGTTCTTTTGTCAGGTCGGGGACATGTTCAGAGTCAAATTCATGGCTAGCAAAGACAGAAGAGACACAAAATTATTTTATGAGGTAAAAGCAAGTATATGACTTTAAAACAGAAAGCAAAAGCCCAGTATTAACCTTTACCTCAGTGAATTAATGTTTTCTTCGAATGATTTTATTTTATATAAGTTATATCTGGACCAAGCAGTAACTGAATGTCTGTCTGATTATAAGACAAGCACTTTTCTATGTGGAAATTAAGGTAATAGCCCTTTAATATTAAAATGGACCACAATCTCTAAAATGCATATGAATGAGCAGGCCCTAACACACAGATCTGAAAACAGGACTCGTAATTCCTAATGGTTTGAATATCTAATTTTAGAAATTCTGGGAACTAGGGTTGAGTGGCAGCTCGTCCATGAACAACTATGCACAGAAATTCCTCAGATACAAGAAGTATGGTTCAGAAATGCTTTATTGTAGAGGGATAAGAAAGCCAGAAACAATATAAACCAACTCCCAGCCAACATCAAATTTTAACAGATGGTAAAATCTGTAGCATTAAAGTGAGTGAAATAGAAGTTGTGCTTAGAATAGTAAGATAGATTAAGCTCACTCTCCAGGTTAACTAATATTAATCTACAGGTATGAAACCACTTAACCTAGAGGATTAGTATGTATGGACAATCTAAATATGACACTTGCTGAATGTGAAACTAAAGACTAGAACTGTCTTTAGTACAAGAATCAACTTAAGTATTTTCCAAAGATGTATTCTTGAAAAGAGAGACGAGCTCTGTAGTCCATTAGAATATTAAAATCCCTATAGAATAAATGGAAATTTCCATGAACCGCAGTGAAAAATAAAGAAAAATATCATATAAGAATAGATTAGAATCTAAGAGATTGAGCAAAAGTAAAATTTCTATCGCTGGTGTAAAGGATACCACTATTTTTATCTGAGAAAGTAATGAGAATGTGAAATATGTAACACATACTTTAGCATACACTACAGAACTAGTTTCAAAGGAGATCAGAAAAGTTTCTCTCTCATCAATTTTAATTAAGAACTACAGAATAACTCTACTATAATGTAAATTTCATCTCTCATAGTTGTCATGGGTTCAAATTCAATTTGCTAAAATCTTCAAATATTGTAAAGACACAAAATACAAGTATTGAAGAAGTTCAGGAGACATAGTTTTCTCATACTACAAATGAAGAAATGGCCTTTAGGAAAATAAACACAGAGAACAATTGAAGATTATTTCCTCCTTTTTCTAAACGATCTTACTGAAATTATGATTATCAATGTAAGAGACTTAATTTTGAAATAATTTCATTTTTATGCATTATGATAAGAATGAAAAAGAAAATGCCATATAAAGCTTTACCGTAGTCTCTGGATATTGGAGGCAACGCCAGAGAGACGATATATTCCATCCACAATGCCATACCTCTCAATGAATGCTGTACAGCTTTGAAGAACCTGGGGTACTAAAGAGAATTTTTAAAGACATGGATTAAATTGGGAGTATTCAGTAGAAACAAAGTCACCAAAAACTGAGAATATCTCAGTTCTCATAAGCAAAATTAAATTTGTAAAATTAAAATGATAAAGGGTGGAGATTCATCTACCACAAAAAATGAGGAGAGCATATTTACTTAATTTCAGATCTCAACTAGAAAACTGGCTCTATCTTGTTACATTAGGTAAGTGAAAGAGCTCATACAGTATTCGGATAATTCCTCTGACATCTTCTGCAGTAGGCTTTAGATCACGTTACAACAAAAGTGAATTGTTTAGTACTAACACCATACCAGATTAAAAAAAATATATTTAGCTGTTCAGCTGAATTTCATACATAGCAAATGAGTATGTGAAGTTATATGCTTATCCTAATGAGATAATTGCCTATAAGTACTATAAATTTTTACTTTCAAAAATTTCTTTTATCTTTTCATAGTCAATGTTAATTGTAATTATCCAATTAAAAAAAAAACGCAACATAATGCAAAGGTCAAAGCAATTTCAAACAGATGAAATCTTAATTTCCTGCCTATCTTTACATTATTAATTACTAACCTTCTGACTTAATATTATCAGCTCATTATAAAGGGCACTTCGACAATAAGAAGAAAAGTGTACTCTTTTTCTGGTTACCTCACTGAATATTTGATATAAATGGACAGCTATTCTGGGCCTATAGTCTAGAAAAGAACGTTCATAGTATATGATAAAAAATTTTTATAACCATTCAAAAATGTACAGTAGATGAAATCTGAACTTTGTTAGGTCTTCCTGCCTTTTGTTGTCCTTCCTGCATTCTAGCTTTTAAATTCTGCCAGATCCTATAACTTATATTTAAAACAAACTCCTTAGCTGTGATTATTTTTTAAAAGCAGCTGTATTATTGAGCATGTACTATGTGCCGGGCTAAATGCTTTACAATAGATACTCTTATTTAATTCTCACAGAAATCCATGGGGAAAGTTCTATTATCACCATTTTACACAGAGGAAATTGAATCTTAAAGAGAAACTTTTACCCAAGGGCAAGCAGGAAACAAATGGCAGAAATGAGATTTTAAATCAAAAAATCTAAGTACAAAGCCAACTTTTTTTTAACTTCGGCAATATACTGCCTAGAATATAAAGTCCTTCACGATTTGCACTTATTTATCATATTTCCATATTTCTCAATTCTAGGCCAAGTGAAATCTTATCTTTTGCAACATAAACCAGTCATTCTTTAAGTCCCTCAATTTCCTGGGAGAGGAAAAAAATGTTCTTGGCCTGGACTCTCCCTCTATAACCACCTTCTTACACAAAAATCTTGGTTGCTGTTCAAAACCCAACTCAACTGTCACTTTTAAGCAAGTCTTCTCTGAGTATCTCCAAGTAGAGGTAGCTAGCTGCTCTATGTTCTAGGTGCCCACAGAACAATGTCATTTTGAATTATTATTTATTTGTTTATACAACTATTACCCCTTCTTAGTCCAGCTTTTAAAGTGCAAAACCCATGCCTTATCTTTGTATATTCAAAATCCAGAAGCACTGTCCTGACACAATGTACAAAATTAACAAATGAACTAATTTACAGGTATATTAATTCATTTTAGTTAAGCTTTACAAATTTTCTGACCAAGTTAGCAGAGTAGGGATCTTAGTTTTCATATGAAACTATATTAATTTTCAACAATTTGCTTTGTACCTCTAAAAACATTCAAAAATTTTAGAAATGAGAAAAGGAATATGTTTATGTGGTGCAGATGAAGGGCAAACAGAGTTGCTGGGTACTTTTTGTGGCTTGACTTTGATATTATAAGCAATCTTCATGTCACAGTGATATGCAAAATATAAAATATCATTATGAGTTTGAGTCGCATTTCTAATATCATTTTATCAATGATAACCTCAGTGCATCAGGCTTCAATCCTACAAACTAGATGTATAATAATAAAATTTGGAGCTGGAAAATTTCTATCACCTACTTCAAAGGGAATATATTTAGAGATTACTGAGATAATTAACATAATTAAAGAAAGAAAAACAGGGCTTTAATTTTTTTACTTAAAAGATGCCTCTCATTATATATGCACCAAATTAGCATGCTAACTCACCCAGGTACACAGAAGGTTTGCTTTGGAAGGAAACCATTCAGAGCACAGGGTTTTATTTCTGTACTAATAGGCTCCCCTAGTATGCATTATAGAATTTTCATAAAAATTAGCTACCATCCATTAAAAAGTATAAATAACTTTCCTGGGACTCTTACAACTATGTGATATTAGAGTCATACCTGCTTATGTGTTCTCAAAAATAGGCAAAATTTAAAAATATAAGGAATCGGAAGTCTTCCCCTGATAATATGATTAAGCCTCTATAGACATAATACTGCATGGAAAACATTTGAGTTGTTTCTTTACACTTTATGTTTCCTAAGTAAAAGGACTGAATATCTATGAAACAATCACATAATGGGGCTTCATAAATAAAATTACATAACTGAACATTGCTATTACTTAGAATTTTGAGAGAGAAACAGGGCATTTAATTAAAATAGGTAGCAAAATGAAAGGAAAAAGCATAAACTTTCATTCTAAAGAAAAAAGAGTAGAAACTGAAGAACAGTATCAGAAGACAAAAATAGAAAAGATCTGGTTTCATTTTTACTAACATATCAGAAAGCAACATGAGAACCCAATATATCGAAAATAAATCCTAGTTAAAAAGGCATTTTATTAGCCATCTTTCCCTCCCCAAATCATCTAATAAACCACTCTAGTGCATATTAAATAATGACTCAGTGACATATGAGAAAACTCCAAAATGGTTCTGCCAAAAGGCAGAATTGCCTCCACACTCTCCAAATAAAACACTTCTGATATATTTTATACTTTTAATATTTTTATATCATCATATGACAACATTATAAGAAGTAAAATTTAAATTAGAACTGCTGACCCTTAAGATTAGAAGCGTAGCTAAAAGAAATATGACAAGAATTGATCCTTGATTTTTCTTGACAGTTTTAGTTTCATTTCTGTTCTTAACTCTTCATTGACTCATTCATTTATCAATCATTTATAACATCCCTTCTATATATCAGTCATCGTGCAAGCATTCTATAATAAAGATGAAAAAGCCAAGTTCCATTCTCAAGGTGGTGGCTTCCAGGCCAGGAGTACAATGGTGCTATGTTACTTATTAGAATGTGCATCATGATTTTTGGCTAAGGAAAATATGATTACCTAAAGGATTAATTTCAGGGGTTATTTGGGCCTTGCTTTTTCCTAGTGTGCTCTCATTATAAAATCCCTGTATACTTACAATAGTTAAAGAAAACAAAAAATACCTCTTGCTGAAAGGGCCAAATAATCTCAATATGTCCAGGAAACAGAGTTTCCTCACCTGGAGTTTCAAATTATTTTTTATATTTTGTACAAAATATAATTTCACCTAGTTTTCTATGAAGTTTTCATTTTTTTTAAAGCAATTTGATTTCAAATCTCATTTTAAGGAAATTCAGTTTCAAATATGTGCAGCAAATAAAACAAGTCCTATAAAAAAAAAAATCAATGACAGCTGAAAACTCTGCTATACTAGAATAGATTTTATCACAGTTATAGAATGCATGAACACTGTAGTTACTAAACCTGTTATTTTCAGAAAAAAAAATAACTTGGCATCCATCACCTTCTCCTATCATACTTACTAAGAATGGAAACACATCAGAAACTTCTAACTAAAACTTGCTGAACTGGTGTTTGAGAGCTAACGATCATGGCAGAACAAAGTGGAAAACCCTCTCTCATATTATCATATCCAAGCAAGGTTGAAACAAAAAGAGATACAAAAGAAATAAAAAAGAGAGACAGAAAAAAAAAAGAAACCAAGAAAACAAAAAACATTTTGGTGCTATAATTAAGGAAGCCCATGTAAATGACAAATTAATCTGATCTAGCCACAAAAAAGTACTATGTGAGTAGATTTTTTAAAAAATCAGTCCTATAGATAATGGTGATACTACCTTTAATCAAATCAATTATCGCATTGTGGTCTGTGAGATCATCCTAAGTGATTTCTGGCTCTAGGGATCACAAACAAAATAATTTCAAAAATTATCAGGCTCCTATATGATTTCTTACAACAGTTTGTACAGAAGAAACAGGTCAGGTTTGTCACGTGTTCCAACAGGGAGCTGCTCAAAAGTTTAGAAAGTGTAACAGGATAATCTCTCTATAAAGTAGATTATTCACTACTCTATAAAGTAGATTATTCACTAAGAATACAATTTAGAGAATGAGTCACATAGTGAAACATTATTCTGATATGAGCTTCCTTCTTTAAAAAGATCTTGTGTAAAATCTGTTTTATATAGAGTAAGGATACTATTTTAAATAAACTAAAACAGAATAATCAAGAGGAAGAACGATTATATACATTATATATCTATCTATATTTATATCTCATCTCTCCTCACAATTATGTATATACTATATCAATATATCATTCTTCTTCCTCATGATTGTTTTCACTAAGATTTTAAAATATTATATATAATATGTTCAATTCTACTTGTTTTAATTTAGACTTTAAAACAGTTTCTATATATACATACGCACATGGTATAACTACAGTTACTAACTACATACAGTATAGACGAAGTCTCAAAATTTTCTAAAAATTTTAATTTCCCACATTTATTAAGTCAAATACAAACTAATAAATCAATTTAATAAAAACCATTTTATTTCTTACTTAAATTTATGGTTAATAAACTTCAAAGGTTTCCCCTTTCCTGTTAGTCTTCATTTGCATATGAATATGAATCTTTCATATGAATATTTATTCACTTTTACCATGCCTAAACAGTACATTATTTTAATATGCCAACTAGAATGTACCTGACCTCAGCCTTCAAAGTTTCTTTCTATCTTTTAGAGTTTACCAAATTACAGTTATACTCTAACGTCACAAGTTAATTTTTTTTGTATTTCTAAACACTTAGACTTTCTCCTCTGCATCGGCCTTTAGCACAGTTTTCTCTTCCAAGACTATTAAATTCATTTCTAATACTCTTCTAGTATTTTTATCTTTTTAATTAAAAAATCAGAAAAACTAAGAAAAAAATAACAAAAATATTCTCAACATATAATACTCTACCATAATTATATTCATTTTACATATCACTGAATATCTGTACTTTTTTTTTTAACCCTTTCTTGTTTTACATAAATCCTTTTAACATTTCTTGTAATACTGCCTTGTTGGTGATGAATTCCTTAAGCTTTTTCCTGTCTGGGAAGCTCTTTATCTCACCTTCCATTTTAATCAAAAGCCTTGCTGGGTGGAGTATTCATGGTTGTAGATTTTTGTTTTTCCTAACTCTGAATGTTTCTTGCCAGTCTCTTCTGGCTTGTAAAGTTTCCACTGAAAAATCAGCAGACATTCTTATGGTGGTACCCTTGTAAGCAACTAACTGCCTTTCTCTTGCTGCTTTTAAGATTCTCTCTGTCTTTGATCTTTGGCATTTTAATATAATGTATTGCGGTGTGGATCTGTTTGAATTCCTCGTTTGTTACTCTTTGTGCTTCTTGATCTTGTATGTCTAATTACAAGTTAGGAAAGTTTTCTGTCATCATTTTTTCAAATAGATTCTCAATCTCTTGCTCTCTCTCTTCTCCTTTGGGTACTCCTATGATGTGGATATTGTTACGCTTAATGTTGTCCCAGAGGTCTCTTAAACTATCCTCATTTTTTAAAATTCTTTTTTCTTTTTGTTGTTCTGATTGGATGTATTCTGCTACCTTGTCTTCCAGTTCGCTGATCTTCTGCTTCGTCCAATCTACTGTTGAATCCTTCTAGTGTATTCTTCAATTTAGTTATTGTATTCTTCATTTCTGTTCAGTTCTTTTTTATGGTTTCCATGTCCTTCTTTATGCTTACTATCTCTCTGTCGAGGTTCTCATTGTGCTCATCCATTCTCCCCCTAAGTTTGTTGAGCATCTTTATAATCATTGTTTTGAACTCTGTCTCTGGTAGGTTGCTTGCATCCATTTCATTTAGCTTATTTTCTCGAGTTTTCTCCTGTTGTTTCATTTGTCGCATGTTTATCTTTTCCTTTTATTAGCCTCTCTGTGTTAATTTCTATGTGTTAGAAATATTTGTTTCATCTCGGCTTTGGCCAGATAGCCTTGTGTGGAAGGTATCCTGTGTGGCCCAGTGGTGCACTCTCCCTGATCCTCTGTCCCGGGGACTCTGGACGTGATCTTTGTGTGGGTTGTGTGTGATCTTCTGTTCTAGCTAAGCCTTTACTGGTGTTAGTACATCAGTGGATGAGATTAATGCTCAGACTGACTAATTGTGGGAACTGGCTGCATCCACAGAGTAAGAGTTGCTGTGTGGGGGCTGACCCCGCTGAGTGGGATTTGCCCTAGCAGGCTTGATATTTGTTGAGACCACCCTTTGTGTGTACCAGTTATGGGACTAGTCAAGAGTTGCTCTGCTGTGGTCTAGTCCGTTGATTATGTGGCCCCTTGGGAGGGGCTCCCCAGTAGGCCAAGGCCAGCCACTGCCTTTGATTGCTCAGAGATACCTGGTAGGAGCTACAAAGCGATCTGCAGATGGTTGTTGCCTATGCTGGATCTATAGGTAAGTGAAAGAGACAATGCTGTAGGCAGCAGTCTGGTTATCCCCCATCCCTGATGTAGGGCAGTTTAGCAGAAGGACCACTGTTCCTCAAGGCCAGAAACTGCCTGTCTGTTGCCCGTAAGTCTCTGAAACTCGAAAAGCCTTTGGGTGATATGCATGTTAGGTGATGCAGGGACCCTGGTAGTCTCCTGAATCTATTGCAAAAACTTCCCCCTGCCACTGCAGTGTCAGTTTACATGCCAGCACTGTCTCTGTGGCTCCCTGTACAAGTTTAATTGTAGCAAGGCCAGCTATTGCCCACCTTGAAACTACAAACACCAGAGCCCTGTTTAAGAATTTCTAAAGCTCATGGATGAGTTTGTGGCCCGCCAATGAAAGCTTCTCCTGGCTTTGTGTGGGCTGCACGAACAGAGTGCTGTTGTTTGTTGTTGAATTTGTGACCCAAGAAAGGCACAGGATGGGACTGGGTTGCCTAGAAACAGGCTTGTCGCAGGTAATTTGTGGGTTAGGTGGGGCGTCACCTCAGTGAGGCACAGGGTCATCAGGCCTACACAGCACCAGTTTTGCTGCCAGCTCTGGGACTGCAGATTCCCACCAAAGTCAGATATCACTGTACAACCTACTGTCATCTGTGATGGGCACATAATACCCCTGAGGTCTGCCCAAGCAATACTGTATTTCGTGCTGGCAGCAGTGATCTTCCTGTCACTGTATTCCCTAAACTTTACTCACTTAGCTGGCTGAGATTTGTTGACTGCACAGAATGTGTCACCCCAAGGTAGGGGCAGCTGCCTGTTATCATGCCACGGGTACTTTATGTATTGGTTGGGGCAGGATCTTGGAGTCAAGAGCCATCAGGCCAATAGCCTAGATTTTCTGCAATGTGTCTGCCCATTTCCACAGTAGTGACAGATCACAGGGAGATAAACTGCTGTCTGGGGCGGTCCCACAGACCCCTGTGATTCCCCTAAGAGATACTGCAGCTCATATAGGTAGCAGCGGTCTGCCCACAAATGTTTTCCCTGAAATGTGCTCACTGCACTAGCCAAGGTCTGTTGCCTGAACAGAATGTGCAACCCCTGAGAAAAGTAGGACAGGGGAGGATGCCTGTCAATGGGTTGCAGGCACTTTGTGGCTTGAGTGAAGCAGGATCTGAGAAAGACAAAGGCCATCAGGCCAATACAGCTTCAGTTTTGTTGCAACTTCTGAGCCCGCACTTTCCTGCTGTAGTCACATATCACAATGAGACCAGCTGCCATCTGGTGCAGTCCCAAAGACCCCTGAGATACTCCCATGTGATACTGCAGCTCTTGCAGGCAGCGGAGTTCTTCCTGCAAGTGATTTCCCCTCAATGCGGCCCTGAGCTAGCCAGTTTGTTGCCTGTATGGATTGGCTGGGGGAGTGGGCAGAGGCAGGGTGGTGGTGTTTCAATGGGCCGCCTAGGGCAATTTGTGGGTTGGGTGGGGCGGGGTCTCAGAGAGACAATGGCAGTCAGATCAATACAGCCTCAGTCTTGCAGCAACTTGGGTAACCTTTCATGCATGCATTCCCACAAAAGTCGCAGATCACAGCAAGACCAGCTGCTGTCTGGGACTGGCCCATAGATGCCGAAGATCCGCCCAAGTTTGTATGGGCATCAGTGATCTGCCTGAAACTGTCTCCAAAATGCCTGTTCACAGCGCTGGCTGCCTGCTGTAAATCTCTGCCCCTGAAATGGTACAGGGCGTGGTACCCATCCAGCAACAAAAGCTCAGGGCAATCTGCAGGTTGGGTGGGGCGGGCTGATCTCCTCAGGCCAGTGCTTCTCTATTGACCCTGTGGGAGGGGTCTGCATGCGCAAGTTGGCTGGTCTGTAAATTGCCCTGTAGGCGGGGCCCTAAGGCACAATGGTGGCTGCCCGTCCAGCCCTGATTTTGGCATCAGGAAATGCAGTCTTTCTCCATATGACTCTTGAGCAAGCCTCTGACCCACCGCTGGTGACCCTGGTGAATGTCCGCAGGTGAGAGAATCTGTGTGCGGGCCCTTCAAGGGTGCATCTAGGGTTTCAGTCTACTTCTGTCTCACCCAGATGGCCGGAATCCCCTCTAGTTTTTACAGTCAGAGTTATTGGATTCTCCCATCAGGAAATGCAGTCTTTCTCCATATGACTCTTGCGCAAGCCTCTGACCCACCGCTGGTGACCCTGGTGAATGTCCGCAGGTGAGAGAATCTGTGTGCGGGCCCTTCAAGGGTGCATCTAGGGTTTCAGTCTACTTCTGTCTCACCCAGATGGCTGGAATCCCCTCTAGTTTTTACAGTCAGAGTTACTGGATTCTCCTCTTCCCTGGGCCGGGATGCCCCTGGATGAGGCTAGGACCCCTCTTCCTCAGGGGTGCCTCTGCAGCCTCACTCTCCCTCCTGGTGATCCTCTACCACCGGCGGGTTAGGATCCAGCCCAATTTGCAACTTTGCTCCTCCTACTGGCATCGATGTGGCTCCTTCTTTATATTATCAGACATACGTGTTATGATCAGCTGAACTTCAGTTGATTCTCCACCTTGATTATTTTTAAATTTGGTTGAAATTCAACGTGGACCTGGGAGGAGGTGAACCCTGCTTTTACCTAGTCCTCCACCTTACTCTAGAATTCCATACTTTCAAAAAGGTGAATTTACTGTTTATATATAATATTTTTCAAATTTCCAGACTGTACTCGAATTTATAATTTTAACAGCTTCATACTTCATAGATATAAAAACAATGCAAATTAACAGTGCTATTGTACCCTTTGTGTGAATGTCTTATTCTTCCTAAAAAGATCAGAAGTATCTCTACTGTCAAAGTACTTTCTTAGACTCCTCTTTACTCTAAATTATCCCCAGAACTAAGGTAAGTACCTGAGAATGTTCAATACATGCTGCTGAACTTAGATGGGACAGATGTTGCCTAAACTCCTGTGTAATTGATTATAGAAAATCAATATGGAGAGGTTAGAAGTTAAAATTATAAGATTATAAATTTTATTTTTACCTTCAAAACCAGAATTGAGAAGGTGCTCCCCCAGGTCACAACCAAACACCCTCTCTTTCAAGATCCCCCGCTGCTTCAACTTCTGTTTTGTTGGACGAGACTTCATGAATGTGCGTAAGAAAGTAATGAGCTTGCCGTGTTTTTTAGACACTAAAAAAGTAATAAAGAGAAAATATCTTAGTTGTGGCAAGAGGTTACATTTTTACTTAGTATGATAAGAAGTGGAGATCTTGACAGGGTGACTGCAAAATAATCGATTAAAAGTAAGTACATTTTATATTCTGTAGGAAATTTTCAACTGAAGTTTAGTGACTTTATAAATAACATCATATTTTTGCACTTTCTTCTTACCAGTCCGTGGTCTTATTTGATGGGATTGTGAGCAAATTTAAGTATGGTAAACCAGCCATCTTCCCAGTGCATACTTATGAATACCACAGGATTGTGATCAGTACCTGAGTTTTATTCTAATATAAGGCTTTGGAGAGCTTCATAGTAAGTGAGACTTAAAATGGTGTCAATATGGTTTGCCTTTCTAATCAATTTCTACAATATTTTACTTGAAGGTTAGACATTTTCATGGCGTTTGTAATCTTTGGAAAATAAAACTAAAAAAAGAAACACTTCCCTCCTTTTCATTTTATAACGAGGACAATGCCATTATGATACAGAACACACTTGTCCAACTAACTGCTATATAAATACAAAACACACACATAAAAAAGCATTAGATCTTCTATTAACATTCATCTAGAGTATGCTAAATATATCACTTTAAATCCTTTGTAGATCAAAGCAGGAGATAAGTAAATTAATATATAGTAAAATATTTCCACTAATTGATCTAGAAAAACAACAGTGAAAGAACTGAATACACAGAAAAATTACTTTTGCTGAGAAGTGCAGCCTGTAAGAAAAATTACTCTAAAAGTCAACATATAACAAATATACCTAAGCTCAGAGATTAGGTGCTGGATATAAGGCTAAGCCACATGGCCTCAATCCTCTTATTCAGTTTGCAGATGATTACTGAGAGTCATACTAAATCCTATCATAGATTCTTGAGTGAACCCAAATCTTAAGTCCACTGAACTGATGACGTCTCCTGTAGAAATTCTATTCGCCCAGAGTAACTTGTGGCCTAGATGAACCACTAGATGGGTTACTCTAGACCAGATCAGATATTTGCCATCTGTTTCTTTTCATTTTAATGGAAACACTATTTACAGATATAAGCTTCTGTGAACTGTACAAGGGTGATTAATCGTAACTGGTTTGGCCATAACTAAGAGGTTTCTTTACATATGAGACTTTACGTGCTAAGTCCTGGGCAAACTGGGACAAAACAGTCATCCTATATTGTATGCAGATTAAATGAGAAATTTATTTTTTCTATATCAACCATTAAAACTGACTTAGGATCATCAGTATAATTTTGATGGTATCTCCGATATGCTCTGAAACTCTGAGTAAACTACAACCTCTCTTGTATCTGAGATTCCTTGCCATAAAATTAAATGATGTAAAAAAAATTTAAATGATGTGCTCCTTATAAGCTAGTGAGACATTTATGGAACACTAGGGTAACTTCAGAAACATATTGCACATATCATAATATTACTATATTAAAAAGTTATTGGACTTGTATGATTCTTATTCTCCCCTAGTTGCTAGGAGAGTATATGTTGCAAATCTTTGTTAAAGAGTGGTCATAATACCATTTCAGTTCACTTTCAAACGTGTTTTGTTTCTACATAAACTTTAAAATAATTTTGACAAGCTTTACTAAAAAATACAAATGAGTTTGGCTTATAATCATTTAACATAATATATTTATATGTATTTATATATATTCTTAACATATTAATGTTATATTTACATATTAGAAGAATTTTAATTTCCACAATATTCAATATTTCTAACTGGTAACATTTCTAATCGGGGATGTCATTATTTTTCTAAATCTTTTATATCTCAGTAAAGTTTTCTAATTTTCTTTATGAAAGTACACATTCCACTTATTTCTTGTTAGGGATATTGCTAGGTATTTTACCTTTTTTTTTTTTTTTTTTGCTTCTCTTAATAGAATAATACTTTTCTGCAATTATAGCCTCAATTGGTAATTACTGGTATGCGAGAAAATATTTTCTTTAGGAATAGCTCAAATCTGTTAATTTACTAAACTCTCAACAATTTTAGAAGGATTTTAGTTGATCCTTCTTGATTTCATGAATATATAATTGTGTCAAAGCAAATATGATAATTCCATCCTTTTTCTTATAAGATGATTTGTTTCAGATTGTAATAATTGGCCAGACTTCCAAGATACATATGAATGGTAGGCATTCATATTTAGATGCCAAATTTGATGAAAATATCTATTGAATTTGATGACTGCATATTATGTATATGTGAAAGCATTCTTTTAGTCTCATATTTCCAAGAAGGTTACAAAATGATGGGCATTAAATTTGAACTACCATTCATTTAGCAACAACTATGTAAGTGCCTACTCTATCTCAGGAACTGTTCTAACTCCTGTGATTACAGCGGGAAACAAGTGAGGCAACTGCCTTGCTGTTAGAGCTTACTGAGGGGAGAAGACCACGAACAATTAAATAATAATAATACTATAGCTAGCATATATTTTATGCTTAGTAAGTGCCAGTAACTGCACAAGTGTTTATATTTATTAGTCATTCATTTCTCACAGAACCCATATAAGAAAAATACTATTATTATCCCCATACTGTGATGGAAGCAACTTAGCCACAGAGTGCTAACATATCCAAGGTCACATAACCAGGACTCAAAATCAGGTGGCCTGGCTCAAAACCCAAGCTCTTAGCCACGGTATAATATTGTCCAAGTTAAGATAACACGGTAACTTCAGATTGCTTTTAACTGCTAATAAGGAAATGAAGAGTGAAGTAACAGCAAGAGGAAAAAAACTACACTGAATAAGATGGTCAGGAAGGTCTGAGAAAGTCACGTCTGAGTTGCAGGATGTGAGTGTACTAAGCAAGGAAGATAGTGGTATGAAATGAAGCTGAAGATGTATGAAAAGGTCAGGTGCTAGGGGCCATAATACAGAGTTTGGATTTTATGCAATGAAATTTTATGCAGAACATACTGAAGAGTTTAAACATTTTTGAAAGGTTACTTTAAAAATAGTCCAATATATGTATCGGAAACCCAAATGTGCATTAATAGGGAATTGGTTGAATAAACTATGATATATCTGCACAGAGGATTACCGTTTGGCTTAAAAAAAGAAAAAAAGAGTATCTCTACTTACTAATATAGAGTAATTTCCTGAATGTATTAGTCATAAAGGAAGGTAATGTTAACTTTGAGTTGGAAATGTGAACATGAACTCAAAATTAAAATACAGTCATACCAATGACAAGCCAAATATACCATGGTGGTCCCATAAAAAGAACCCCCAAGAAAATTCACAGTAAATGGTTTAGTAGAAGCTTTTGCGGACCTCAACAAGCTCCTTAAAAAGTCTGAAAACATGGATCCTAATACCGAAAGGTTTTCATTAATAGGGAGGAATGTTCATGGTACATTATCCTCTTATCAGCAAATCTCAGATTAAACAAACAAACAAACAAACAAGCAAACCACCATGGTCATATTTCTGAAAAGAGTGACACCTCCTCAAGAAGGGCCTCACGCAGGTCTTTCAGGAGGTATTCCAGAAGAAGGCATTATTATAACAGGAAATGACAACTCCATGTGTGTTACTGCCCCTGAGGCCTTCTAGTGGGACAGGATGTGGAGGTGGAAGGCAGTGGTTTTGATGATCCTGACTCTATGAAGGCGCATGGTGTTTGTTTATGTCTTAGTTTGAACAAAAAAGCTTAAAGAGTAAAAAAAAAATGTTAAAAGTAGAAAAAAAGTATAGACTAAGGGTATAAGAAAATATTTTTTGTACAGCTGTACAATATATTCGTACAATATGTTTTAAGCTGTTATTACAAAAAAAGTTGAAAAGTTTAAAAAAATTAAAAGCTTATTTATAAAGTAAAATTGTTACAGTTAGCTAAGGTTAACTTACTGAATAAAAATATATAATTTTTAAATTTAGTGTGGCCTAAGTGTACGGTGATTATAAAGTCTATAGTAGTGCACAGTAATGAATGTCCTAGGCCTTCATAGTCATTCACCATTCACTCAATGACTCATCTGGAGCAACTTCTAGTCTGTAAGCTTCATTCATGGTAAGTGCTCTCTATACATGTGTACCATTTTTTATCTTTTATACAGTATTTTTATGGTACATATCGTATATTTATATATGCTTACATATACAAATACTTACCATTGTGTTACAACTGCCTACACTATTCAGTACAGTAACATGCTGCACAGGCTTGTAACCTAGGGGCAATAGGCTACACCATATAGCGTAGGTGTATAGTAGGCTATACCATCTAGGTTTGTGTAAGTGCACTCTATGATGTTCGCACAATGATGAAATTGCCTAATGATGTGTTTCTCAGAACATATCCCCATTGTTAAGTTGTGCACTACTGAACACAAACATTTTCTCTAAGCTCTAGCCACCGAAAGCCTTAGAAACAACGACATTCTGGTTGCAATGAACACCTCTGGTCTCAGACCTGGGTTTCTAGATATCATTCCCTAATAAAATAAACTAGGACTCCCTGGAGAAATGCCTGTTTGCAAGCTGATAGTAGGGAAAACATAATGTGAGACTGGGAAATTCTGTTGTGACAGAAAGTAAGGGAAACACCCATATCCATTAGGAGTCATGGCAACAGGACCCAGCTGAACCAACTCCCACAGGCCAGCTTTGGAACTTTATAAATATTTGAATATCCCACAGAGTGACTATAACTTATTGGGAAACATCGAATAAATAAAAACTCATAAGTCCATGACAACACTCCCTAGAAGTAAGGAAGGAAGAGAATGATAATTTTCAGGCACAAAAGGAACTAGAACATTTAAAAAAAAACTGCATGAGTAGTTTGCCATAGTGAACTAGGGATCCTCACTAGTAGAGAAAAAACTATGTTTATTCCTTTAATATCAATTAGCAATATCATAACTAGAATGAATGACTGAAATTAATTATATATTAACCAGAAAATATATACATTCATAATTCAATGACA